GATTCAATTAATCTTTGCCTGTCCATATCATTCTTTTTAGCATCCTTCCCTAAATAACCATTTTCTCTTGAGCCTACTTCTGCTTCCCCTAGGCCTCTTCCTTATGCTCTCATTTGTTTTCCTCATTCACTGCCTTCCCTACCACTTTTCTCTCCCCTACCTTGCCTTGCCATCTCCCAACCCCAGTTACCTGCATAACGCAATGGGGCATCCTTGTCCAAGGCGAAGAGTGGTGGGTTCAATAGGACAGTATTGTCATTCTCCATGACGATGCCCTGGTATTCTGCCTCAATCCATGGCTTGTGCTTATTGGCTGTTCCCCGGAGAGAGAGAAGAGGGAAAGTACTTGTAAGCTGTTGTTGTTGTTGTTGTTGTTGTTGGCGACCCTATTACACCAACTCTGAACTCTGCTGTATCCTGATCCAACCTTATTGTCTCTGACATACCTACCCCTATTACCCCAGTCACTGAGTCAATTCACCTTATCCAAGGTCTTCCTCTCTTGTGCTGTCCCTCTACCCTCCCAAGCATGATGTCCCCCGCCAAGGAGTGGTCCCTCATTGCAACATGTCCAAAGTATGTCAGACGGAACTTCAGAATCCTTGGCTCCAAGAAGCAGCCTGGTTTCACCCTCTAGGCCAGGCAAACTCACATCCTAGTACTATCACCTTTTCCCCCACCCCCACTTCCCATAGGACCATCTTTCATAAAGACAAAGCTAAGGATGAGAAATTAGCTATTAAAGGAGTCAGCACTTTCTCCTATAGCAGGTCACTACCTTCTCCTATAGCAGGATAGTTTCCATGGCAACAGCTGTGGGGTGGAGGAAATAGACCACCATGGGCACCAGGATCAGGTAGAAAGCCTTCTCTAGGGATTCCAGGTGCTGGACAGTGGGCTGAGGAATCAAGAAGCCATAAAGTCCCCGAAGGGGCCTCAGGAAAATGAGGGAGGCGATTTAAGGGCAGAGTTGAGATTTTTTTAAAAAGAGATCTAGACGTTTCCTGAGTCCCTAAATTTTATTCTCCCCTCTTAATTTCCAGTCCTGCTCTTTTCCCTCTCCATTGCTCCTAGTCAAGCCCTAACCTAAGACCATTCTCCCAGAGCAAAGGGAAAAGAAGAGATATAGGACAGAGGGAGGGGGACAGAGAGGGGCAGGGCTGAAGCAGAGGAATCGATGTCAAATGGCTGGACCCAGCACAGCCAACATCCTAAGGGATTATTGAGCTGTCCTAGAAACACGACAAATCCCCTCCCTGCTTCCCACCCCCACAGCCAGAAGAACACACTCGGAACCAGCATATATCTATGTCCCCTGTAGAGTCACCAAGCTCTGTATTCCCTGGATCCCACAGTTTATAGACTCATTGCTCTGTCCTGATTCTCACCCTTCTTGCTTGCTTCAGCCATCAGATAATTCATGCTCACTCAAGCTTCAGATCCTTCCACACTCTGCTAAATCACCACCAGCTCTGTGACCTGCCAACCTGATGGGGTATCTGGGAAAGGCGCAGTGTACCTGGGGAGCTCAGCATGTTTGCTTCCTATCACCCCAATGCCAGCCTTCATAGAGTTACTCTATCTGCTCTTATCACACCAAGCCCCAGCTCTCAAAGCACATTCATAACAGGACACACACGGATGGAGGAGAGCATCTCACCAGAGGGAAACTGAGTCATGAAAAACCAACCTGTTCATAGCATTCACGGTGATCAAGAAATTGATTTTATTCTCTCCTCCAAACACATTCCCTCCCCTGCAAAAGCCTTCTGCTATCTGAACGCCTGGCCTTTTCCTGTTGATGACCACCACAGCTCCTTCCCTGACAGCTGAGGAGAAAGCCACAAGATGGTGCACCGGAGGCAGCACAGGAAGTGGCAGGAGGCAAAGAAGCCAGACTGAGGGTCAGCGATGGAGGCAGGAGCATCGTCCAGGTGGAGGCGAATGCAGAGGGAGGGGCTGAGGCGGGGCAGAGCAAGGCCCCTTCTCCAGAGCTCACCGCTCCATCCTCACTTTTCTCCCTCAGTGTTTAGGCCTCTCTCTCCCAGTTCCTCTCCCCTTGGCCATCTCATCTCTCCTTTTATCCATTTCCTTTTACTCCCTCCTGTCCCTTCCTTCTTGGCCTTCCCTGCTCCTTCTCTTTCCTCCAGATTTTCCTTTCATTCTCCTTTTTTCTAGCCTCCACCTTTGCCCTCTCCTATCCCTTCCTTATCCCCCTCCCATGCCTTATTCTCTTCTCCTCAGCTTTCCCTTTCACCACTCATTTAGCACCCTCCCACACCCACTTCTGCCCCTTCTGGCCTTTCACCATCTGCTTCCACCTACCTGAGCCCTATGTCCCTAACCCTCTCCCTTTCTCCCTCCCCCTTTTCCTCCACCCCAGTCCTACTGACAACCCCATTCAGCTGAATTTATCTGCTGTCTGCCAGAGAGGGCAGCTCTGGTAACCCACAACCCAGCTGTGTGCAGGCATTAAGGGTATGGATGCAAAGGAACACGCAGAAACATACGTGCTCCGAATTGCTGAGCTGCAAGGAGCAGTTTCTCCCCAGCATGGGATGGAGATGAACCATATGGAGCTGCCACACACCCTGAGTGCGTGCACACCCCAGTGAAAAAATGGGGCCACTGAGACATGCATATCATTGCTGCAGGGCTGGTCCTCTGAGACCTGAGATGTCTATCTACCAGCATGGAGAAACTGGGCAGGGGTGGAAGTGGGTAGAGATCGCAAAATGGGGATAGAGACCATATGGGGGCAAGATGACCAACAGAGAAGTACAAGGGTAAAGATGGACAAGAGAAGAAGAGATGTCAAGGGAGACGCAGAAGGGGGACTGGCCTGAAAAAATGGGTGGGAAGGGCGATGGTGAGGAAAGGAGCAGACACCTGTCAAGTGCCAGGGTGCTTTCTGCCCCTGCCCCACATGACCTACCCCTGTCCCTCTGTCCTCACCCCTCACTCCCTCTTTACTCACCTTTGTTGCCGGAGCTGGACGGGAGCAGGGAGGCCAGCAAGAGAGGCAACAGCAGGAGAGTCATGGTGTGGTATAGGGCCAGGCAGGGCTGGAGCTGGCTCTCCCCCGGGAGCCTCTAGTCAGCCAATTCCACCTTGGAAGAGGGATGCTGGGGCTCTCCAAGGAAGGCGGGTAAGCCAGAGGGTAGCAGGGCAGTGAAGAGAGGAACTTGCCGTCCACGCTAATTCGCAGAGCAGAGCTGGGCAGACCCCAACCTGGTGGCTGAAGTGGGGGACTTGCAGTGGCTTCTACTCGGTCCCCCTAGATCCCGGCGTCCTCACTCCCACCCCATCCCTGCTACTGCAGGATGACGTCAGCACAGCCAGGCATGGATTGATGGGACCGCTGGCCAATCGGGTGACTGGGGGCGCCAGGTGCTGCAGGGGGGGAGGCGACCAATGGGACTAGGGAGCAGGGGCGGGAGAATGTGATAGAACCTTTTTCCTCTGACTGCAATTTGGGGGAGCTGGGGCACTGCAGGGGGGGAGTGACTGGAAGGAAACTGTATAGCCATTGAGGGGGTGGGAATAGAGGGACATTGAGAGAAGCTGGGAGTCAGGGGGTGGGAAAGGGGGCGACGTCAGCAGAGACCTGAGCAAGTGGGGAAGGGCAGTATCCACGTCACCCCCTAACTCTGCATTAACCCCTTTTCATAGCTCGTTCCATCAGCAAGTCTCTGGTGCATGTCTCCGTGGTATGTTGAAGCAAGCAACCTCAACCAGAGAACTGGCATTTCAGTCTCCAGCCTCAGGGCCCAAGGAACCTAGGATGGTCAGCAGGGAGAAGATCCCTGAGACTGAAGAAAATAAAGATACTCTGGACCACCCCACAAACACACCTGTCGGGACAGTTCAGCAGCAGCTGAAAAGGGAGGCCCTGACCTTCAAAATGGACCGACCACACTCTTGTTCTCTTACCTTCCCTGACTCCTGTCCCCAACGTTCTCCACCCAAACCACAGATGACCAGCTCAGGTGGCTGATCCTAAAGCTGAAAGAAAGTGGGAAGTCCAGGGTTGTGACGCAATCATTTAGGCAGAAGCCCCCAGGGGAATATATCTGGTACATATGTTCTCTCAGCACTGGGGACTCTGGGTGATGACATCAGTGACTCCAAAGGGCCAGGGAAATCCCTGAGTTCCGAGCCAGAGCATAAAAATCTCAGTCAACTAAACTCTTCCTGCACCAGACTTTGAACTCTAACTCAACATTCCTCTGCACTAGAAGCACAGGTCTCCAGGCATGACTCCCTCCAACCTTCTCCTTCTATCCTTTTCCCTACAGATTCACTGATGTCTGAGGGAGCTGTGGAGGATGTAGGGTTTTCTTCACTGTCACTGCTGGTCAAGGAGTTGTTCCTCTTCTTTCTCCATCTCTTCTTCCTCACACTTTCAAGATCCCTGATGCAGAGCTGGAATCTCGGACACTAATAGAATTCATCCTTCGATGGGCCTGTGAGAAACCTCAACCCTCTATGTCCTTGTTGTGTGCAATTGAGTCTCACGGGGGTAAGAGATTGTCCATCTTCTTCTGCTGAGCAGCTAATAGGTTCAGTTGCCTGCCTCTGGGTTGGTAGCACAACTCTTTATCCACCAGGCCACCAAAGCTACTCTCCATAGCCAGCGCTATGCATCTTCCTCAACACACTGCCCGAGAAGGCTCCAGTGTTGTTTCCAGTCCTGTCTGGAGGAGAAATGGAGTAGAGGCCAGTACTGGCCTGTGGAAAGGTTCAAGACATGAGAAACTGACAGCACAGGACTCTGAATTCCTACAGGTTCCTTCCTCAGGAAAAGCCAAGGTCAGGTGCAACCTTGCCAAGGCCCTGTCTTTCCTTCAGGCTGCCTGGCAGACACCAGGTTCAAATTCACTTTGGGAAGCAGGGAGGAAGTCTGGTAGGGACTCTTATTGCGACAGGACCCAGTCCTACAAAAGCCCTGGAAAGCAAAAGCTTTACACAAGTCTGTTTGTCCACACAGAAAGTCTCTTGGCCCCACCTGCCAGACTACATCTCTTCTCTCCTCACTGGGTCTCCCTTCCTGCTGAAATTTTCATCTCCATCTTGGCACAGCAGAACAATGCCTCCCAACCTCACCGGCTACTACCGCTTTGTCTCTCAGAAGAACTTGGAGGACTACCTGCAAGCCCTAAGTAATAGCCTCTCTCTTCCCATGCCCCTTTCAGTCTTCTTCTTCCCTCTCCCTTCTGTCTTCCTGGGGACTGGACATTGTAGAGAGTTCACAGGCTGCTGACATCTGACTTGGGATCCATTTCTAACTAGGACAATGCAAAACCAAGACCAGCTGTTTTGGAGTCAATTCTGACTCGTGGCAACCCCATGTGCGTCAGTGTAGAACGTTATAAGGTGTTCATGACTGTGACCTCGAGGGAAGCTATCACTAAGACTTTCTTCTGAGGTGACGCTGGGTGGGTTCAAACTGCCCACCTTTTGGTTAGTAGTCCAGTTCAGTGTAGTGATAGGAGGGCATATATCCACAGTCCTAGATTCAGCAAAGGGAAATTTCACAGCCCTGAGCTGTCGGGGTGGGGACGTTCACGTGAACTAATAGGACCCTTGCTAAGAGATCACCCCCACAGACATCAGCATGGCTGTGCGGAAGATAGCGCTGCTGATGAAGCCAGACAAGGAGATCGAGCACCAGGGCAACCACATGACAGTGAAGACCATCAGCACCTTCCGGAACTACGTTCTGGAATTCGAGGTGGGAGTTGAGTTTGAAGAAGACCTCAGGATAGTGGACGGACGAAAATGCCAGGTAGGAACAGATGCCTCTTAACAAGCTGGGGCAAAAGAAAGTGACTCCCAGTGGCCAGAGCCCAAGAAAATAGTGGCTATAATGGGCTGTGGAATCTCGAGGCTACTAGTTTGGGGACTAACAGGTCTCTGGTGCTCCTCTCACTCTCTCCTAACTCTTTCTACCCCTCTAATTAGTAACCAAAATGGCTGGCCACTGCCAGGCTGCGAACGAACATTTACTCACCCCGAGCCTGTGATGCTGCCCTTTCCCCTCACACCCTCCATTTCTTTATCTTATTCTTCAGTTTCCCTTCTTGGTTTCCTTTGCAGACCCTAGTTCCCCTATTAATGCCTTTAAAGGATACTTTGCCCTTGACTTTCTCATTTCTCTCTGTATACTCCTAAATCGTAGACACCTCCTCACCCCTTCCACCACCACCAATAAACTGCCCTTGACATATATCTTCCAGTCAGAGCTATCCCTTCAGCTCCAGGGTGATGCTTTCAGTGCCTGCAAGACATTTCCATTTGTATGCCCAAGGACAAACTCAAATTCACTATCTTTCTACACAAACCAACAACTCCTTTTATACTTGCTGTCTCCTTAATGGCAATAACCTGCCAACAAACCAGAGGCCTGAGAGTCATGATCAATAAAATTTGTTCTCTTAACTCTGTCTCTGACACACACACTTTCATATCCTCACACAAAGAGAGAGACCCATGTTTCACTAGCCAAGAAATCTTTTTCTGCACCATCTAACATAAAAGCTACTACAGTTACTAGGCACATGTGGTTATTAAATTCCTGCAATGTAACTAGTACATGTCAATAGGTAAATGTCAAATCAGTGACTGTAACAATGAACCCCAATAGCATGGAGAACTCGAGGACGGCACAGGCTAAGGCAGGTTCTGATCCGCTGTTCATAGGGTCACTATGACTGATTTTCAGCTCAGTGGCACCTAATAACAGACAACAATAAAAATGTAAAATATATATTGTATTTTAGAGAGGAGAAAAAAACTATAAAATATCCTGTTAAGAATGTATATATTGACTGTTGTTGTTGTTGTTTTTTGTGGTTTTTTTTTTAATTTTTATTATTTGTGTGCGTGTACTGTCAAATCAGATCTGACTGGTACAGGAGGATATTGCTCCTCCTTCTCCGGCAGAGCATCTGGTGGATTCGAACCGTGTACCTCTGGGATTGCAGTGCAGCTTCTTGCCACTAGGCCACCAGAGCTCCCCTGACTGTTGTTGTTTACATTGGACCTGAATCAGCCCATAGCTTACTCTCCAGCAGATTTTCAGAGGCAGTTAATTGCACAAGAGGAGATGGCCCATCCTTCTACTGCATATATTGGTTACATGCTGAAATTATAGTATTTTTAGATTGGAAGTTAAATGTACTATATTATTAAATTTCCTTTTACCTGTTTCTTTTACTTTGCCAATATAACCAGTGTTGTTGTTTCAACCCATAACTGAGGCTCCAGTGGGTTTTCAGAGGCAGTAAATCACAGGGAAGAGATTGCCCATCTTTCTTCTACAGCATAGCTGGTGGATTTGAACCACATACCTTTTTATTGTCAGCACAATTCCTTACCACTCCCGTGTGATTACCTGCTGCTAGAGGGTCAGCTATGGGTTGGTTCCAACTTGACAGTATACAATAATAACACACAACAAAGGCACCAGAGCTCCCTAATATAACTAGTAGAAAACAGAAAGTTATATACATGACTGGCATTTGTGACTCACATTATATTTCTCTTGAAGAACACTGTCCTAGATGACTTCCACACATTCCTAACCATTCTCAAACTATCTTCATTCAGGCCCTCACTTCTCCCTTGACATCCAAATTCACACCACCCCACCCCCCAGTTTAGTCCACTCTACACACTGTAGCCACAAGAATCTGTCTAAAGTATAAGCCATTATATCATTCCCTGGCTCATCCATTCCAGTGACTTAACACTCTAGATAAGGTTCATATTCTTAACTTCCCAGTCCTTCATTTATCTTTTACACACACTCCAGGTTAGAGCCTTTCAAGACTATTTGTCTTTGTCTCTGTTACTTCAATGTTGTTTCTTTCCTTTCTAAAACTCTCTTATCATCTCCAATCTAACACTTAACCTCATTGAAGACTCCGCTCTTCCCAATCACACCCCAAATGCACTTGCTTGATATCATATATGGTATTTACTGATTCTCTATCCTTTCAAGTTTGTGAGCTTCTTATGGAGCTAGTCTAAAGAAAGGAGTCTGGGTGACACAAGTCATTTGCAATTGACTTTAACCTAAAGGTAGGTGGTTTGAAGTGCTGTGGGAGAAAGACCTGGCTGGCTGCTTCTATAAAGCTCACAGCCAGAAAACACCCTACAGAGAGGTTCAAGTGTGTGACAGATAGGGTCTCCCTAAGTTTGAATTAAAAGAGAGGAAGACTTTTAGCAAGACAGGCTAATACAATGTCTGGAACGGTGGGTTTCAACACAGCACAGATTGTGAGGATTGTACTAATCAGGCAAGGCTTCAGACCGTTGTGCACAGGATTATTATGACACTGAGCCAATGCCAAATCACCTAGTAACAACAACAACGACGGTGATTTTATTATTTTGTTATCATCCAGTGGGAGCTGTCGATAAATACTAGTTGGAATGCCCAGGCCCATGAAATGGGTTCAGAGGGTTGGTCCTTCTTTCTAAGAAACACTTGAGCTGTACTTGAGGTGAGAAAGAACAGAGATTTTCTAATGGGTACGCAAAGACAAGTCAGATGAAAATCTCCAGAGAACAAAGTTTTCACTTTTACCTCCTCAATTCCACCCTTCTATTCTGCCAGCCCCCACTTTCTCTCAGCTCATTTGAGGCTGAACCACTACCAATGTCACCACAGAGGCACTGTGGCCCTTCTGTGGCCTCTAGGAGTGAGGGAGAGGCATCCCTACTAACTAGCTCAGAGCAGCCTACTCATTCACTCAGAAAGAAAGGTCTGGAGGGCGAGAGTATTGGCTGTGCAGCATTAGGGATAGCAGGGGTGAGTATGGATGTGATTTGGGACCTGCCTCCCATTCTTTCTTTATTCCTACCTTCTCCTATAGACCATAGTAACCTGGGAGGAGGACCAGCTGGTGTGTGTGCAGAAAGGAGAGGTCCCCAACCGGGGCTGGAGACACTGGTTGGAGGGAGAGAAGTTGTATCTGGTGAGCTTGGTGAGGGCTGGGAGGGGAGAGTAAAATGGAGATGTCTAGGAGAGAGGGCCTTCAATCAGGATGCAGCCTCTTGCCCAAACCAAATAAATCAACTCTCCCTCTTCACCCCTTCCCCAAAGAGGACCACTAAAGGAGGAAAACAAAAGGACCGGAGGGGTGGGGAGAGGAAGATAGGTGGGCCCACCCACAAGGATGATAACTGTCCATAAATCACACAGGAGAACTCAAGCATTAGCCAGTTCACCTCCCCTGACCCAGCTACCTTCCTTCCTCCCGGCGAGAAGTTGAGGGTTCAGAACAATGATACAATATCCCATATATCAAATGCTTTAGCCTGTGTATCCTGAAAGACTGAGTGGAGGTCAGGGACATGGAGAAAGGGGCCTGCGCTGATAAGGACTCTCATCCTCTGACCTGTCTCTCTACTCTCTCCCCAGGAGTTGACAGCCAGGGAGGCGGTGTGTGAGCAGGTCTTCAGGAGGGTCAGATAGCCCAGAGCTGCTCCTCCAGATGCATCCCCTGCAGACACGTCCCACATTGTCTTAGCTCAGCAGTTTTTTCCCTCAGGCTACTTCCCCATTCCCCCAGTCCCCTCTGCCCATGTTAATCTGTAACCTGCAGCCCCTGGGCCAAAGTCCTTCTTTCTCACAGCCACCTCACAGCCAGTTCAAGGTCTTGCCTCCTGGAAAAGAAAAACTAGCCAAAGTGGAAGGAACCCTGGAAAATTTCCATCGCCACATGATTCATATCACCCCAGAACTCAACATTTGAGGATTAGTGACAATTCCATCCTCGTAGACCCCTGGAAACCGTGACTGAGTCAAGACCTCACATAGGAGCTCTTGGTATCTTCAATTCTCCATTTCCTTGTTGTTGTTGTTGAGGGGAGTGTTTTTTGCCCCCAAGAAAACCTCCTGAGCTCTGAGAACCAGGTCCAGGGTATGGTCCACCCAGACTCATCTTGAAGGGGACCCCTAGACCTACTGAGACTGAAGGCAGCCAAGACTACTCTGCTTGCTGCAGTGGGAACCAGACATCCCCAATTTCCTCATCACCCACCTAATTAGGGCTGCACTGTCTCCTTGCTTACAAACATCTGAACACACTCTGACTATTTAATGTTTTCAGCCTGTCTCTTGGAAAGGAGACAGGGATAGGGAGAGACCTTTGTCCAGTGCTGGTTAGAGACTGTTGATATTGTTGTTATATGCTTGTGACTATAGAGACCCTATATATAACAACCCTATACCCAGCTCTGTCCTGTACCAATCTTATTGTCTCCGACATACCTATCCCATTACCTCAGTCACTGAATCAATCCACGTTATAGAGGGTCTTCCTCTCTTACACTGTCCCTCCATCCTCCTAAGCATGATGTCCCTCTCCTTGTTGAGACTAGATGTTTCTAAATAGTGACCCGATATCCACATCTGCTTTGAGATGGACAGGCAACAGTAAAGCTGAAAGAGAAGACTGAAAAGAAAACAGGGAGAGAGAAAACATAGTCAAAAGATAGAAAAATGATGAGCACATGGAAATGAAGGCGGCAGACAGCAAGGGGAAGATTAGCTGCCTGGCTATCGGACCTGTCTACCCAAAGGCCATCAAAGCTGGAGAGACAGGGAGAGTCTGAGGCTAACAAGGCTCCTCCTCTAGGGTCCCAGAGTCACCGTCCTGGAAAGGAGCCCAAGAAGGTGGGGTCAATTTAAAGTCAGTGCCAAGCCTAGTTTCCTCACTACTATGGGGGTAGGGGGTGGGAGGGACCGTGGAGGACAGGAGGACACAATGACTCTTTCAGAATAAAAGCCCTGTGGGGTAAAAGTCACAATCAGATAGAAGAAGGATCTGTATGGTTTGGAGGCAGAGGTCTGGGTGCAGGGGTAGAGAGATGGGTTTGGAAAGTCACTGGCTTGTGTTCATCAGATGGACAAACCTCTAACCCACCCACTACCTCCCTCTTTCTGCAATGACTAGGGCCCCTAGGCAGGCACAATGGTCAATGGGGCTCTGGCCAAGCAGAACAAGCTAATCACACTCACTGGGATGAGGTTAGATAAGTGGAACTGACTAGCGTTTCCCTAGCCAGCCTCTCCACAGACGGGCCAGCACATAGCAGGGAGTAGTTCCCCCACAAAGTCACCTAGTAGAAGCTGCAACAGCTGCTGGATCGTACTGTGTCCCTTTCCAAGGTGGAGTAAAGGGAGGGAAGATCCTCCTGTGTACTCTTACTCATTGTCCAGGCCACTCACAGGGTGAGTCTAAGCCTCTCGCCACCGCACTTGCCTCTGTCATGGCCCTGACGCCAGCCCAGTGCTTCTCCCTGAACTCTTGGCACAGGTCCTGACTTTGAAGCTTACCTGTCTCCAAGTGTCAGGATTCAATCCCCCTCAAACCCCTAGTGACCTGGAGTCCTGGCCATCCACACTGCAAGTCCTGTCTCCCCATCTCACCCCACCCTTCCAGGAGGCAGAACTCAACAAAGAAGATTAGAGATGCTCAAAGAAATATAACAACAACCAGATGGGGGCTGAGAAGCTTCAGAGGCTTCTCTGTAAGAGTAGGAGCAGAGGCCCACTGGGCTGCTGGACTTGTGGTGTCCCCTGAAGGCAGCCGGGGGAGCTGTTCTCTGCAGTAGGAACAACTGATCCCCCATTTCCTCATCTCTCTCACCCACACATATACACACACTCCATTTCCTAACTCACATATATTCTCACTATAAGAGTCTTGTCCCTTGTTCAAACTAAACTCCATTCACCCACAGAAATAAGAGGGGGTGGTCAGAGGGACCAAGAAAGAAAAGGCAGAGGATGGAACAGTCCACGAATGAGGAGTTCTCACCTCCAGCCTTTCCTAGGACACACAAAGTTGAAGACACCTGGACAGACTTTTTGGCTAGTCTTAGATCCCTAGGGATATAATTGACATTGTTGTTGTTATGTGTTTTCAAGTCAGAACCAACTCATAGCTGACCCTCCAGCTGGTTTTCAGAGGCTGTAAATTGCATGAGAGGCGATTAGCCATCTTTTGCTTATAAAGCAGCTGGTGGATTTGAACCACAGTGCCTTTGGGTTGGAAGCACCACTCCTTACCACTAAGCCACAGAACTTCCTTAGGGATGTAATCAGGAATCTAAATATTGATTTCCAAGTGAGCTGGATTAATTGCACCCTGCTTAGCCAGCTTGATGCCGGCGTACCACCGTACTCCCACTCTGCCAGCCTCAGATTACACCAGACAATCAGAAGGCACTTTCTAGCCAGAATTCAAAATGAGCCTTCAGCCTCTGGAAAGGCCAAAGGTCAGTCCAGATTCCTTTCCCCAGAAGAAGCAGACATCCTGGTGCATGAAGGACACAGGAAAAGCACGTGTTGCTCACGGATTCAGGTTCCACATTCTAGAAGGGGCCAAGAGGAGGTAAAAAGCTAAGGCTAGCTTGTTATCCTCCCTCCTTTCCTAGACCACCCACTCTTGTACTCCCCACCTCACCCCAGATCCACATGCCCACGTCTGCACGTAGACTTCAGGTGGAAAGGACAATCCCAGCTCTAATACTCAAAAGCCATCATGCATCCAGGAGACTTAACACAGTGGGACCCCTTATTGGCTGCAGGTGTGACTCCTAGAAGCCACCACAAATCCCTGGTTTTCAGGAGAGAACAGAGACCTGGCATTTATAGCTGTTCCTTCACCCATGTGTCATCCGCTATAAAGCAAGAACAGGTGTAGGCATAAGTGTCTAAGGGTTAGGAAAAGGCCTTTAATCTCTGATGTGAGTAAGAATGAAGACTGCCCTCTAGCCTCCCCCTGCCTTTCTCCAGGCTGTTCTTTCTGGGAGAGCAATGTCTCTGTTCTGGTTGGGGACCATCTCCAATGCCACCACCAAGATTCCTGGGCAACATCCCCGCACTGCACGTCACATCATCTCACAACAGCACACATGCCGCCAGAGTTCCAGGGACTTCCCTGTGAGTCTTCTGGACCTCTGATCTGGAGCCATCCCAGGACTGTGTGCAGGGTGGGGGGCAAGTGAGGATGAGGGAGTCCTTGCAGGTCCATCAGGAGGTGAAAGGTCAGGGAGTGATGTGAACAAATCTAGGGGCTCTAGAAAGGACAGTGAAGTAGCCAAATCACAATAAGGTATTGGGTTTTTTTAAATATCGAGAATAGCAAATGCCTGGGATGTGTTAATAATTTGTTACTTAACAGGAAATTAAAAGATGAATTGCATTGGGGAAAGTTGCTGTCAGAGACCTCTCCCGAGTACTGAAGAGCAACGATAGTCTGGAGACTAAGGTGCACCTGAGCCAAGCCATCATCTTTGCAATCACTTGCTACGCATCAGAAAGTTGGGCAAGGACTAGGGATGATAGATGGGGAATTGATACCTTTGAACTGTGGTGCTGGAGAAGAGTATTGAATATACCATGGACTGCTAGGAGAACAAACCAGTACACCCTAGAGAGGGTGAGACCAGGGTGTTCCTTGGAAGGAAGAATTCTGAAGCTTCGTCTGAGATATTTTGGACATGTTGTAAGGCAGGACCAGTCCTTAGAGAGGGACATCATGCTTGGGAGGGTGAAGGGACAGTGCAAGAGAGGAAGACCCTCAATGAGATGGATTGAATCTGACTGGGGTAATGGGAGTAGGTGTGTCACAGATAATAAGATTGGCACAGGACAGGGTAGGGTTTAAGGCTGTTTTACATAGGGTCACTATGAGTCGCAGGCACACAACAACAACAGGAAACTACAGTATTGCATTATCTCATTGAAAAGAAAGCCAGATTTGACTTGAATTAACAATAATAGCAAAAAAAAATAAATAAATAAAATAAAAAGACATAAAGATGGTAGCTACGACCAGAAGGCCCTGCCAGACCCTGGGCCAGGACCAGCACTGATCAGGCCCTACTCTTCTTCCACTAGACCTCAGCCAACAGGATGGAACGAGGCCCGTTCTGTGGGCACCAATGAATACTCCACACTGAATACTCACATCAATCAGATGCAGGTTATGTCCTAGGAGAAAGAGGTGGAGTTGACTGTCCACATTCCTTCTTCCATCTAGAACAAAGGGACCATCGTGTTTTCTCAAAGATTTCCTGACTCATCATCTAGCTGGAGATGAGCCTCCTGCCTCCCTAACTTGTCCATTCCCATGTCTCACCTCCTTCTGTCCTCACCTTTGCTATGGCCACTAGAGAGAGATCATCAATTCCATCCCCCCGTGAACAGAGTACAAGTAGAGGGTCATCAGCAGAGCCAGGACTTTGCCTCTGGGACTCCAGATAAGCCTAAAATGACAAACAAAATTGGGATGGAGTGTTACATACTGGTCAGGTGAGCAGGGCCTGGTGTCAGAGTACCTAAACTAATAATATCCGATTCCACCTCTTTCTCAGTATGGAAAGATATACAAGTTACTAACCTTGAGTAATGTTGGTGGTGGTGTGTGCTGTCAAGTTGAAGCTGACTCACAGCTGACCCTC